GGCAGGAAAGCGCGTTTTCAGCGAAAACAACGCGGAACGCCGGCACGCGAACGGAATAAAAGAGCTTTCCGTCCTTTGACCCGGAATCCGCGTTTCCAGCTCGGAAGCTGCTTCCGTGCTCTACGCTCTTCCGCTTCCTCCTCTGCTGCGTCGTCATTTTCTTCCCGGGAACGAGTCAAAGACCAGCGAAACTCGCGAGCGCTGGGAAACCCTTTGCTTTTGAATTTTAACGGTAAATAGCGCTACACCGGGCATCTTCAGTTTACACTGGCTGTTGCCGAGTTAAAGAACTCTAAAAAGAAGCATTGATTTCTGATTTTTTTTTTTTAATCATCGTTGACAATAACTTTCTCAAACTTGGTACGTTCATTTAACACGTGTTATTAAAAATACAATTATTTACTATTTATTTTTAGTAGGGGAAGTTAAGAATATCGTGTACCCTAAGTTCCATACATTGTTTCCTTTCTCTTTGGTACAATGCTTCACTCCTTTTTAAAATAACGTATTCCACCCTTTCGAGTTTATTTTTACACAATTCCTCTCTGCCCTCCCTTGTATCTCCATAACTTGGCAATTACCATTAAATGCAAATTTCATTTCGCAAACAGTTCTCAGCGGCGTTCGAAACGGAGGTATTGAAAAATATCAGTAACATCATTACCTTTCGAAAACTACCGGTACCGATCGCTCAATTTATTCTCAAACGTAACAAACGGATCAATGGGGGGAGTTTAGGGGGGGTCGTGTTCTAACGCTCGGGGAACGCATTGTGAACCTATCAATGAACGAACACAAATTTTAACAGTTCATCCGGTTACGTTGATCCCGAAGGTATAAGCGGTTTCACGGACCGACCCCCGAAACGCAAGGTTTCGCGCTTCTATGGGTCTTTCACGGATCTCGTCGAGTCCCACTCATGGGGGGTTCTCAACGGGCGGGGCCCCATTCTCCATGGGGCGCCAGCGTTCATTGTACCGTCACTGCGTGTTTAGTACTCACGCGTCAAGTTAACAGCATCCCTCCCCTTCTCACCTTTTTTCTCCCCTCTCTCTCCCTCTGTGCTTCCATCCACGATCTCTTTCCCCCCACAAACGCGTCTTCCTTCCTCGATTTTCTCAAAGCTGGGCCCCGAACAATGTCTCCCGGAACTATTTCATCAAAAAGTATTTTTAACGGGGTACAGAAAACATTGATAATAGCTATTTTAAAATTAAATTCAAAATTCACGGTTGGTTGCTATTTTATTATTTTTTAATGTCCTTCGGAATAATATTTTTCGATATTAAATAATTTCAAGCAATGTTGAAAATCCTAACTCAAACGGGTGAGAACAATAAATGAGATTCTCAGACGGTCGCCTAATTTTTTCGGATCCCCTAATGCGGCCAGGTGTCGGGAAACGCGGGTTTTTGTTTCCAGGGTAACTTCTGACCCCTTAATCGATCTTTCCTCGAAACGCTGGTTCCGCCTGGAAGTTCATTTCTCAGATTCAGTTCCTCGAAACGAACTTTTTCGAACCACCGCGTTGATGGTCCTATCGCTAATAGAAGTCCTCAAAAAGTCAAAACGATTTTGCAGCTGGCGACTCTAGCACGCGATCTAGAAATCTGAAGGCTGTGGATCACAGAGGAACACTCAAATCTATTTGCATTCCATCGAACTATACTTGATATGACGTTGTCCAATAATCTTCAAATTCAATTTACTGACGCATAATATGAAAAAATGATTATGATTTATGGAATATCATTAGTAAAAAATAAATTTGAATTGTGCTCGTTGGCCGTCTCATTACGATCGGTTTTCCCGCCCGATCCACGATCCCCGTACGAATCGCCTAACCTCTATACAGCGGAGAGGACCGCGCGCGGCCGGTCTCGAACAAAAGGCGCAACAAAAAGGGCCCCGGTTTTCATTCTTTTTCCCTGCAGCCTCGAGGCACGGGCGTAACGCGCTCGCCGCTTCCTTCCTTCTCTTCCCGGTGTTGCGTCTCGGTGCAACGAGAAAAAAAAAAAGAGAGAAAAAAACGACAGGTTTTCAGCGAGAAACAGGACAGCGAGGCGGCGGTTGAACGCGCGGAACGAAGAAGGACGGGGGACGAGCTGGAGACCCGACCAGCTGAAACAGAAACGACGACTGTCCGTCCGATATATTCCGTCATAAAAAAGAACCGGTTTCGTTGGCGAACATAAACGGAAACCGTCGTCGTCGTACCGGTAGGCTTCGATGACGCCCGTCGAACGATGGAGTCCGCGAAAATATCGTCCCCCGAGCCTCGCGACTAAGAAAAAATAGACTCCAGATGAAAAGAAAGACTCGAGAGGAAACGTGGAAGGCGTAGGATTGCATATTTTTTTTTATAGAATTAATAAAACGGGCTTTTCGTAGAGGGTTGTCTCAACCCCTGAATACAATAATCCTTACTCTTACATTTTTGAGAGTTAAAAATTGTATTTGATATATTACGATCTTCGAGAGCCCTGATATTTAAAATCGGGTCAGAATGGACCCCGACTCCGAGGTTGGTGGTCGTAAACGGTTTGTGGGAGGATTAAAATCGAGTGTTTATAGGCAGTCCGGGGGCGCGGAATGCAGAAAAACACGTCGACGAAGGGAATCGTCGTCTCGCTGAGAGTAGTTTCTTGGTAGCAGTCGTTCGCTTCGATCTTCCGCTGACTGTGTTGTATTCGGATTTTACGGCGAGATCGATTGCCGATAGGGAATCGCGGAACGGTAGCCAGCGGGAAGATGAAGAGCGCGATCACGCGCGGCATCGTCTTTTATCCGGGACGATTGCTATCCTCCCCGATCCGCCATCCTCCTCGCGGCGCGGAAACGTCATCCAGGGGGTCCACGTGGTGGTCTTTGAGAGACGACGGTGCCCTCGGGCGTGATTTAGGGGTGGAATCGCGCGATACTTAACCTCTAACTCGCGTGACGATCTCGAAATTACTTGGAACACCCAATGAAGGGTCACAAATACGAGCAATTGTCGGCTAACGTGTCACTGAACGCCATTTTTGTGGGATGAAATACCTTTTGAAATTTTCTGTACTCAATTTTGGGATAAACGCACCATTAATTTACCTTCTTTCTGAGCAACACGGTCCAAATTGAAGGAACACGAAATGACCAGTTGAAACGAAATAAAAAAAGAGAAATGAATTGTCACTTGTATAATTGCGCATAGTTTCACTTTATGATCGTAAACGGTTGTGGCCGCTTCCGGTTCAACGGACGAGGCGACAAATTCTATGAAATATTAGCGGTACTCGCGGTCACGAAACTTTCACACCGAGTACAGAACTGTCATGGCCACCGCTGTTTACTGTGGCTGGTTTGGAAGCCTGTTATTTATCTCGGAGAAGACGCCGTTTATAATTTACATCTTTATTGGCACTAAACGGCACCGTAAACGAGTCGTGAGATTTATAGGATTTGAAATATTACACTATCGTTGTTATTATTATTCGTAAATAGTATTCCAACGTTCTCTTATGCAAGATAAACTAGTAATTATCGAAGAAATTGTATGAAAGGGACAGTTTTGTTTCAACTTTCGACCTTTGATCTGGATCCGGTTCAAGAAGATTTTTAGTTATTTAACGATTGGGTTATAAAACTGAGTAGTTAAGATAAAGGTTGGATAAAACTCATCGATTTTTGAATTACAATTTCATTATAATGTCAACCTCGAATCAGTGTACAGTCCTCTGCCATAAATCACGGAATTTCCAACCACAAAACCCATCCCCACAAGTCGGGTATCTCCTTCCAAGAGTTAAGGGTGAACTGGAAGGGAGGATTCGAGTTTACACATTCCACTAGACAATTCATCGTCAATCTTAACACTTTGATGGCAAAGTTGACAAAGTTTGGGAAGAGTCTGTTCGATCGAACGTAAATTTTTGAAAATCACAGCTAACCCAACAGTCTCGATAATCGCGAATAGAGGGACGAACGGACAGTGTCGTGTAGAAAGGCATCGATCGCCGCGTTACAAAAAGATGAAGGTCGCTACTGTTCCGCCGAATCGACTTTCCAGGAGCGAAATAAAAAGATGGAGAGACCGCTGAAAGCATGGTCGGATGTATCCGACTGTCCGCTTCGCTGACTTCTGGATTAACGTATCGTCGATGACGCAATTATGAAAATTGTACTTATTAAAGAAAACAGAGAGAGGGAGAGAGAAGTTACCATGAATATTTCTGTATTTGAGATATTGCATTTATCTGAGAGCTTCGTATGATTTAATGGAAATGTGATAAATCACTGACCCAATAATTTCACTCTGAGCAATAAGAGTAATAGTTCAGTTAAAGAGTTGCAGATTGCCCATTCCTGTCATACGTTTGCCATCAAATTAGTCAAAGTTCAGTTTCTCGATAACGAAAAGACTTCTCTCTATTGCTGCTAGTAGATTGTTGTATTCTTTTAATCAATTTAGCAAATAAATATTCGACAGACATCAGCCCCGATGGTGTTCGTTTCTTCCAGTCGCGGTTCCGCAGCGATGCGCAAGGACTGGAAGAAACGGACGTCCGACTCGTCCGGTCGAAGCGTCTATTCCGCCGAGACGCATAGGCGTCTACGCCACTGCGCGGCGCTGTCCTCTCAGCGCGGACGGTTCTCCGGAGGCAGCGGCGTGGAGTTGTCTCGCGGCGGCCGGAACAGAGACGGGAACAACGACAGAACGCCTAAGATGGAAGAGGAGAGGGGAAACCCGGTTTCCGTGCATGGGCGGTGCTTGTTGTTCCTCTGTCGGCGATGGTGGGGGGCTTCGGTGGGCCGTCCTTCGCGGAATCGTGTCCGCCCCACCTTCTGTCGTGCGGTTTACGTGGCTTCGCCGCGACGCGGCGCTGCCTCCGGCTGGAACCAGTTGCAGCTGTGCCGGTTCCCTCACTCCGCAACGCGGCTTCGCCACGATAGACGGGCCTGTAAAGTATTTACCGTGGCGCAGCGTGCTCGCGCGTACGTACGGTTCCCTTGGCGTTCGTTCCTCAGCGGCGTGTCGTCTGCGTCGGGTTGTCGTCGAGTGCCGTCACCGGGCACATGCGCCATGAAACGGGTCTGATGTGCGTCCGGTCGTTCCTTCGCCGGAGGACGGACTCAGAGATCGATCCCCGAGGACACCTCTTTAGTGGTAGTATTTGAGTGCAGGTGCGCGGACCGCGCCGGGTGTTGCTTCGATCGTTCTACCCAAGTGCTTTGTGAACGGTTCGGGTATCCGGGGGCTGACGATGGAACCGGGGTTCCCGCTGGATTCCGCGTCCCGGACTGTGTACAGCGATCCCGACTATCGCGGATGAACCTGTCCGTCAGTGATTGTGCAGTGAGGGGGTGTACTTTGTCCCGGAGGATCGTGACTACGCTCCGGTGTTTCCGTACCGTTACCCGGCTGGGGGAGCAAGACAGAGTCGGGGGTGGTTCTTTTTCAGGCGAGATGTGCCCGTGAGGGCGCGCGTGGCCTCTCAGACAGCGATCGGTACTGCCTGGAATCGTCCTCGACCAAAGGGAGATCCGGCCAAGTTGAGTAGTGAGGTTGTTGAGTGCGGAATAATCGTCGGACCAAGGTAACCGCCAGAGAAGCTTTAAGGTGACAGCGGTGGAGAAGGAAGAAGAGGAGGCAGAAGAAGAGAACCTGCGCAGCGGACGCCATCTCCGCGTTATCGGCAAGCGGATCCTCCGGGACTCCCCCCCAAGCAGCTTCGGCGTCGCGCACCCTCGGCGGGATCTACCCCGCGACAGCAGCCACCCTGATGGGAGTGTATGAGGAGCGCGCCCCTCCTACCACCGGCATGCACTGGGTGAGTGTCATCCCTCTGTTCTCTCTCCTTTGCTCATTGGCCGTACACGAACCGTCAAGGGGTGCCCGGCCTTTGTGTCGGTGGCCTCGATGATCTGTGGATGATGATCCTTGCCCAGCCCTTTGATCTTCTCTGTGTCTGCCTTCCTGCGAGCTCGCGCTTCCACTTCGCGGAGGGTTTTACTTTTTTTGGGGGAAATCGCGTCCATTGGGACACTCGTAGGATTCTCTAACAAACGATGATCTCAGTTCACTCTAAATCCTATAGACTCTACCTCGACCCGAAAGACCATAAGCTCCTCCGAATTTGGAACACCATATCAATGGTACACTCTCGACGTACCAAGCTCAGCCAAGCGTTCGTTCTCTGTCAGGTGTCGCCGATAGTTTTCTCGATCAGCTCGCTAAAAATGCGTGCAACTTTGTCTCGATCGATCTGTTCGCCGATAATTAACACAGAGTTCTACGATATTAATTGAAACTCCCCGGAGTCGAGCAAAAGAGCAGCACGACGACGGAGTCGGATCGGAACGCGACGTTCGTGTCGTATGTACCACTTAATGGAAACAAATCCCAGGTACAGGTAATTCGAGCCAGTGATTTTATTGCTCCCGATCCCGTAATTGGAATATTGCTGGTCGTCGCGCGACCAGTCGCGGACGAGTTCGACGCTTATCGGCGACGTAACGCCCGGGTGATATATTCACCGAGCAACCGCGACACGGGCGAAACGGGTTTCTTGATCCGCCGCGTTGTAGATCCCCGAGGACAGACCCTGTCGCTGGGTTTGACGGATCGTCACGAAGGTCACGAATTTTTGGGTATCATAAAGAATTCGAGTCCTCGAAAATAGGCTTCACATGTGCTAGCAATGAAATTAGTCACATTATTGGGCAGTGGGGGGGGGTCTGTTTCTTTCCAAACAGAGGACCTCAACTATCTGATCATCCCGACGATTCTAGTTTCCTAATTTTCTCTCATTCGAGCTACTTTTGATAAATTCCACGCGACTGTAAGACCGTGGACCATCGATGAAAATAATTTCGAGGCGTCGAGTGCCTCTCATTCCATCGTCGAAACCGCGTGTAGGATCAAACGCATGAACGCTGTTCGCCGTTCTGACCGGTGACATTCGTTTCCATCTCACAAGCGTTCCGAACAACGTTGCAATCAGCGTAGCCGGCGTTCATCTTCGTGGAATGTTAATTCCGTTTTAAACGACTGCTCAATGGCCGCGTCGTTAACAGGTACACCTTGTAAACAAACGTAATTGATTGTTCCGTGTCACCGCGCTGGCCGCTAATTGAACCGATGCATTTAACCGCGCCTACGCCGACGAAAGGTGCTGGTCGCTGAAACGGTCCCTTGGAGAGCTTCGGAGCGACAATTTTTCGCCGTTTCGGTTACGAATCGAACGACCTTCGGTGGTCGGATAGTCGATATAAACGACGATCGTGACAGCTGTCGCTATTTTCCTCCGTTAACGACCGGGTCAAGTTTTATCGGGCAAAGTTCACAGACATTTCTCTTGTACCGCAACTTTGCTTGTCAGTGTATGGCGCTCAAATTAATTCAGAATGTTTTCGAACTGTTCAGCCAATATTAGAAACGAATATTTTCTATTTGGTGTATATAATAACGTTTTACTCGCGGTGAGTTGGTCAAAGAATTCGTTGTATCGTTCGATCATTTTGCACAGGATTTTTATGAAGAATTCAGGAGAAATTCGATCGATTTTTATAAAATATTACTTTCAACGTTGTAATTGATCGAATGGGTTATTTCGTTTTCTGTCAGGCTTCAGTTTTGAGCGTACAGTGACTCTTGTATTAGTAATACTTCGTTCTTCCGAGGTTAGCGCATTTCGACAAGTGAATTTTATGAAAGGAATTAAGTTTCATCAGGATGAATCAAACCATCGAGTGTAATTAATTGTGCATTCTCTTTCACAAAGTTCTAACCTTCACTCTGATTCAAGTTCTGCAAAAAGTCCATTAATCGATCGTTGTGTTTCAAAATTAGTATTATTTTCGTGTGATTCTATTTAAATATTTGTTATTAGCGGCTGACTCTCTATGCATGTGTATATTTTTGGCACATTTATTTCGCCAAACAATAAAAAATGGAGGACGAATATTCAAATACAAGTTGACTGTTGCTACAAGAGCTAACGTTCGTATCACATACGTGTATAATCTCGTAATAATTTATATTATTATTAAAAAACGGTGAGCAACGCGTTGGATCAGAACTTTGACCGCAATATGGTTATTTTTACGAGTTAAAAAAAAGATGATTGTTCTGGTCTCGGACCAAGGTCCTTCGAGTACCGAAAGTTGGGTCAAAAATGTGTTGAATGCACGACGAGGACGATGATCGAGGACATTGCGCGCATCATTCATCATCGAACCCTACCAGCCTCGATCGATTTCGATCGACCGCCCGGTTTGCTCTCCGCTGACTGGCTGGAAAAAAGAATCCCTCGATCGTCTGCGAAATAATTCGGATTAGAAGAGTCGCCGGACAGCCCCGTGTTCGAGCGAAATTAATTTCTGTCGGTCGAGCAGAACCGGTAGCGGTTCCGTCGCCCTTTCAACGAACGAATCTTCGTCCCTTCCTCGGATCCGTGCCATTCGTTCGGCCGGTTTAATAGATTTCTCACTGTCGCGGCGGGAACGACTCCGAGACTCTCAATTCCAGACTATCTGGTCCCTGAATTTTTCTGTATTTTTGTTACAAAGTTGCCCATACGCTTAAACTGAAGCTTAAACTGCTCAAATCGAACGACTTCGCCACTTCATTTTGTCGTGGCTGCTGCAATTCGTGTAATTCGGTGTAGTTTTCGTGTTAATTTAAATAAAATTGTAAAAGTCACTCTGTAGTGCAGAGGAGGCCTTGGATAGGTTTACTTTTTAAAAGAAATTGATTTCTTATTGGAATTTTTAGGTTTTTGTCAAAATTCCACTGATATTAGATTTTACATTGTGCACAATAAGTACTCAATTGTGGTGTCTCAAATTTTCTCGACTGGAGGGTAATTGTTTCCCCATTTTCCACTGGAATATTTACTCCATGCAATCATGAGGACATATATAACAGTTAATGGGGGAAAGCAAACGTGATCTTTAATTGCATAGAAAGAGTTTTTACGTTGGATAACCAAATTTTTAAAATGAGAAAAATACAGTACAATCACAACTGACCATATACCGACCAGTTATTATCATCTTGATTAAAGTAGCGAGGTCGTATCTTAGCGAAGGCACTCAGCTTATCATTGGTCAAGAAAGCGTCCAGCATTTTTATACGCGTTCGTGTGTTGCGGATAACATAAATAAAAAGTGTAATCACGAGCGTGAATATTTTGTATTTTATTTTTATACGATATTTGTCCACGATTTTTCTAATTACCTAAAAGGTCCTTGTTTCATTTTCACTGCTTCAGAAAAAGATTCTTTAAATTAATACTGTTCCTAATCGCCGAATAATTAGAATACGATTTTTAGAAATTTATTAGATTTCGTCAGTAATGGTATATTAGGTGTTTAGATTTTAGGTAAACGGAGAACTAATAAAATTCACATTTCACATTTGCATACAGATTAATCATCCTGTCGATTTATTGCACGACAAACTTAATTTTAGCTTGTTGACAGTTTTCTAAAGTTGTTAGAATTCTAATATACGTATCGATCATTATGCAAATTTTGAAGTCATGTGAATATATGCACACTGTAGAGGAATCAAGCTCGAGAACAACTCGGTGGAAAAATCCACTTGGCACTAGGGTTAGGGGTTGTCGAATTTTTCTCTGCTCGAGTATGTGAACGCTTCAGTGACTCGATTATTATTCAAATACTTGAGGTATTCGAGTAGTTAGGGTCCATCTACTGTCTGGTTATTTGTATAGGTACTTAGATAAATGCAATGTGGGCCATAAATCGAGCTCTTCATCGACGATACCCCATAGAACCTATGATAACAAAGAAAACGTAACGTGGGTATAGTTTATAGCTATAAGTAACTTATATGGATCATACTAATTATAGGATCTACTATAGAATAGGATAGTACTATAGGACTATAGGATAGTAATATTAATATATGATCCTTTATTGTACATCTTCCATCTTTTAACTGTCTCCATCAGACTATCATAAATCATTTCTTCCAGAATCGTGAGCCCGTTAAATTAACAAAATTACTAGATAAAGAACTTAAAAATACAATCAGAAACTTTGCACTGGAACACGAAATAACTAAATTCATGTTCGGGTCTAAACCCATCAGTTTCTTGCAACACGTACTATCGTTTCTCAACAAAAGTCAGTTGTTCGTCCAAACTTTTCGTAGTTCTCTTGTTTCTCATTCGTCGAGGAATAAAATGGAGGGCAGAATGAATCGTTATCAGGTCTTTCGACTAAAAAGAAAAGAGGTCCCGCGTAGTTTAGGAATTTCTACGCGGCGAATGCGTTAGGGGGAGTGCGTGATCGTCGAGATGCGCGCGAATCGAGCGGCGTAAATATTTTGTTTACCGAAATATCGCCGTACCGATTAAAGCCTATCGCGTAAAGTCCACGGGCGCCGTGCGTTCAGCGTCCTAATCTCCTTCGGGCGGCGATTATTTTATCGCGCGGTGCCTCGCGCGGACCCCGTCGAGACGATTTTTCGACGAACGGACCGATTTTCTCGCGGCTCGTTGCGCAACGTGATTTTCCCGCCGCGGCGAAATACGAAAATAAATAACCACCGGTGAATTACGACCGGTCGAGCGGATTTTTGGGACCCGGAGCCTCGTCGTTTCCACCGAGAATTATTCGTTCGGAGATTCAGCGAGGGGTTGCAACCGAAAATTGACAGAGACGAACACTTTGGCGAGAATAAAATTGGAAGACGCGACCATAATGGCGGGAGAGGATAAAAATTGAAAATTTTCTTTGCAATTCGGGCTGGAAATAATCAAAATGGAGAATTTTTTTAATTAATATTAAAATAACTGTT